CACTGATGTAATAATTTCCTTTATATCTGAGCTATATTTTTAGGACATTGCTTAAGAGACACAATTTATTTTCATTCAAGATTTATTATACACACCCATTATTTGTATGATTTAAGAAATGAAGAAATTTAAGAACTTTATTATACCAAATTAAATTATTGTTGATTATATTTTTGACATTATTCTAAGAATCTAGGAGAATACACAAATTTAAAATCAAAAGTAAATAAAAATTATAACTTTATGAAGTGGCACAAGTATAAGAGAGTTCATTGAAATACAACTCACAGTGTAAACAGTATCCTAACTTATGTTTTCCTAGAATTCTAACATATAAAAGATAACCCTTTATTGTGAAATATAGCTAGAAAGGGGATTTATTTAGAAAACAAGAAACATAAGTTGTACTTTTTTTGCTGATTCATGTATTGTCATTCACCTTGGCCTTGGATATAGCTCCAGGTCAGGTCAGGTCAGGTCAGTTACATTTGGTAAGATTTGATAATAATTGCAGCCCTAGGTTTTTGTAATGTTTTTTGGTCCCACCGGTTATACTTTTATTCAAGTAACTTTCTTAGAATCTATAAAGCTCTGTAAATGAGATTTCCATAATACAGGTAAAGGCCAATACATAATTGTGCTTTTTTAAACCATAATAATAAACTCTTATGTTTTAACTCATATTGTTTTAATGCAAGATTGGAGCTATGTAATTTCATCTAAAGCATTATCATTTTCTTTGAATAGTTTGTTTTCCTACAGTTGGTAATTTTGTTAGAGTAGTTGATAAATTTCCCAAGTAGTAACAGTAATTTTCTTCACTGAAATCAGTAATTCTCTTTTTTAAAAGAATTTACACATACTATCAAGAAAAATAACCAAAGTCAAAATAGCATCACAAGCATTGTTAGTGTGACTGAAGGGAATGAAAAAGAATAGAGTAGGGAGAGAGGAATGGATAGCTTGAGAGAATATATTTCAGCCTAGAGTTGACAAATTTAAATTTAGGGCCCAAGAACTTTCCCAGATAATAAGTTACTAGAGTGTTAAGATTATAAACCTCACTCAAGGTCTGTGTAGGGCAGATTCTCCATCTAGTGCCTCTTGTATTCTGTGTAAAAAATGCCTGAAACTAAATAAATGTTTTTTGCATGGTAAAAATAAACTTTAAAATGAAACTGAAAACTTACTACTTAGTCTTTTCCCTAAATTAATTAAAATATGCTAATTTTCTTACAAAATTATTTTCCACAGAACCTTGTTTTCTTCCACTAATTAAATGTTATTTCTATTTTAAAAATAAAAATTATATTCTAAGTATTGTGAATAGTTCATTTATTTTCATAGGATGGATGGCCAAGGAGTTCTCCCTTGTTAAAATGTTTTTTATTTAATTGGTTTTTTTACATGTTAACAGATAAATTTTTCATATTTGCCTTGCAGTTGAGAAAAAGGAGTTTTTCATTGTGTGTTTCTCTCAGATGAGAATTCAAATAACAATAGAAGCTGTTAACGAAAAACATCCAGCCTAGGAGAAAACTTATAAGAGTTTATTTGAGCCATTCTGTCACAATTGCCGGGAAGCAAAATCTCAACTGATTGAGAAAATGCTCTGCAAAATGGCGGTTTGCATCTTATTTTATACATAAAATCAAAGGAGGAAGTTTACATGAAATCTATTGGTGCTAGATTAAGGGGGTGGGAGAGAGCAAAGTGGGGAACCCTCTGGGATTAGATAAAAGTAAATTGGAGAGACAGGCACTTCCTTTATTTTATTTATTTATTTATTTATTTTTAGCTGAGCCATCCTGCCACCTGTTGGCAGCTCAGGCCAGAACTGAAACAGCTGTTACTCAGAGCTGACACTCTTGAGCAAGCTCTTAACCAACTGAACCACTCGGCCAGCCCAATGGGACTCCTTTTACATAGGTGGATACAGGATAGCTAACAGTTTTTTACAGCACAAAGGGATGGTAATCAGGTGATAAGCATTATAATGAGGAATTTTGCAGTTTTCAGCTCCGGTCTGGAAAAAGGATTAAAGATGTGTTGTTTTAGGTACAGAAAAACAGAGAGGCTCGCTGCAAAGGCACAGACTAACTTGATGAAGGAAGTTAAAGATGATGTGACTTCCCACCATGGCCCTCTTGGTTATGAAAGTTTTTATGCTCACACCATTTTATGTGGTTATTTTCAATCACCTGAGCTTGTCAGGTTTAACCTGTGGCCCCTTTTCTGTCCACAAAGCACAATATGTTTTGTTTTTCTTTATTTTAAGTGGTTCTTTGCCAGGTGATACAGGAGAGTATAAAGCTTAGTGTTATATTTATATCATTTCCTTTGAGAATATTTAGAGATGAAGATCTCATACTGTTTACTTTCCTTTAAAATATATTGCGAGGAATTTGTAAATATTAACAACAAAAAAACTGTCCATTTTCTTCACTTTTAAAAGGCGATGATATAATTTTTTTCACTTAGAAGATTTCGTTGTTATTTGATAGAGAAACCTGGCAGTTATACTTGATAATGATTTTTTTGTACTTGAAAGATTTGACCTCTTGCTGGGTAAAATGTTGCATTGTTTATCTGTCTCCTAATGGAAAATTAAAATTATCGTTGCAGCATGATATGTGTAAAAATCATTTAATATTAAATTTTATAAGAAAATAATTGCAAAAAATCTTATTTTAGGGGTTCATTCACTGAGAAATGTCTGTTTTTATCCATTACCCTTAAGTCAAGGTAATTAATACATTTTTACATACACACATGTACTTAGTTGCTTAGATTAGTTTCCATTTGATATTTAACTTCATCACCAAGAACTGTATTTTTGCAGTTCTGATGCCTCTAAATCATACATAAACCTGTAAAATATGGAAAAAGGCTTAAACTAGGGAAAACTGTTCCGGGCTAGTTAGTATATTGCAATCCAACTATGATGCGAACCTTTATAAATCTAGAATTTTTCTGAAGTAATTTTTCTCTCATTAATCTTAAATAAAAATAAATATCCATGTTTCCCTCAGAATTCAGCTGGAAAAGCAAACAATAATTATATCGAGATTTTTCTTCTTTTCATAGGTTCATGCTTGCCATTCTTACTTAACTTTCCTTTGTAGAGGGGATTATTTTAGCTGGGAAGAGTCATAAGAATTGATCTTGGAGATTAGAAGGAATGAATGAAATAGTAGGTCCAAAAAAGAAGTTCTGTCTATATTCACTAAAATTCAGAAATAACTTATTATTATGTTTCTATGACTTTAGGTCGCCGTTCCTTTGCTAGCTGTTTTGTTACAATTTACTAGTAGTACATACTCTCACTAAAACAGTTATTCTCAAAGTGTGTTTCCTGGATCCAGCAGTATTAGACCACCTGGAGAATTCGTTGGAGGTGCAAATTGCCACAGTACACCCAGGGACCTGCTGAACCAGAAACTCTGGGAGTGTTTAAACATGCCTTACAGTTGATTCTGGTCTACACTAAACTATGAGAAATATCTGCTTAAAGTAGACACTTGCATCAGGAATAAAAGAGTAGGGGGAATATTGGAAACTCTTCTGCAAGTCTGGGAAGGCCCGCCCAAGTCTTTTTTTCCTGCCTAGAGTTGTACGTCCAGAATATTCTCTTTAAGTGTTTATGAAGTGCCTAAATCTGAGTTTCCTCCCAAGTTCTCCTTTCTCTAAAGCTGTTGACCCAGATGAGAGGAAACAAAGTCAAATTACAGACAAAATGCTATCGGAGAGGCTTTGTGTATACAAAGGATTCAGATTATGTGCTCTTTTCAAAATAAGAAAAAATATTATTTCCTAATCCCAGTTTATTTTGTTATTTCTATTTAAACATTCAATTGCTTTAAAAAAGATGCAGTAGTTTTAGTTTTAAATATTAGTAATATTTTGCAAATTCTGTGACGAATTACCTTTTTGTCATTATGTTTTCCTCATGTGTAACAAAAATGTTACTTGGCATTGTGACAGAACTTTTATTATTTTGAAGCATTGTTTAATTCCTTACTGTACATATCTTATGTGTACAAGAATGAGTTACCATCCAACATATTATTAAATTGATTTTTAAAAATATATCAGTCACATTTTGTAAGAGTAAATATAGGTGTGTTTTATTCAAATTAGCAGTTCCAAGAGCTACCATTATTGACCTCTCACTGTGTCCGGGTAGTTCTCTGTGCATGTTACATGCCTTAGCTCATTTGATACTCAAGGGGTAGGTATTATTATGATCATCTTCAGTTTGCAGGCAAAGAAAGTCTAATGTCCCAAGGTCACCTAGGCAGTCTTACTCCAAAGCACTTTTTTATTTGCCTGAGCAGAATTGTTTCTTTTACTGATGTTTTTTTCTTTTACATATACTGTTCAAGGTGTTTTCAAGAATGTCAAACAGTGCTTATGTAAAGTCTTATAATTTAAAACTTAATAGTGAACAATATAAATAATAATGCAGGTATTGGTAAATAAAACCGAGTGGGCTTATGAAATGGGACATGCCTACTTTGGCAAAGCAATTCAAGTGTATTACACTGAATTCCAGTTATTCTCTTATTTGTTTAGTTTTTCGGGGAATTTTCAGGGAAATCTTGAGATCAAGAGTTAATTCTTTGTAATTGGCACGGTGATCCATGTAGTAAGTGTTCAAAACCAATTTCTTTGATAGATGGAAGGCTAGACAAACAAGACATACAAGAACTTCTTCTCTTGAAGCTCCTAGAGCTATGAATAGAGTCTGCAGCCCTCGAAGCTTACGGAACCCCAATTCCTTTTCATCGTATCATCATTCTAATTTAGCTGCCGTCTTTTGAGTAGCCTTATGACTGATGTAAAACTGTACTGGGTGTCCCTTGTACATGAAGCTGTTATTATTCAGTGGGTTAGAATTGGACTTTTATGATTTTCAAAGATTTTAATTTAGAAGTAAAGTCTATTTCACTTTTTATTTTGAATTATATTTACTAGTCTTTATGTCTTAATTTCAACAGCATCACTGCAAAACTTGAAAGAGCTCTAGAAAAAGTTGCTCCTCTTCTTCGTGAAATTTTTGTAGACTTTGCCCCATTCCTATCTCGTACACTTCTTGGCAGTCATGGACAAGAACTATTGATAGAAGGTATGATTTCTCTCTCTATTCTAATTATTTCAGTTTCCTATAATGTATCTATTAATCATGGCATAATTTGTACTTCTGGAGGAATATTATTGCCAAAAAACTATGAAGACATTGTTTCCACAAATTCTAATAAGATATTCATATATTCGTATGCTTTCTCCTTACTCATTTTTTTTTAAATAGCATGTTTGCACAGTTCATGTTATTGCACAGCTAATAACAGAGTAAAGAACTTGGGTAAAGTGTTGGAATGGGAGGCTCTGGCTCGTATGATCCCAGTCTTTCAGGGCTGCTGTATATGCTTTGTTAGGATGGTGTCTTTACCAAGCAAGGGTCTCTAAAATGTCCTTTGAACTCTAAGAGCCAGGCTTCTTTAAGTGACTTGTCTTATTCACATAACATTTGTTATATGGGAATCCTTAACTGTGATAATGTAAAAAAATACTTAATTGGGAGTTGCTGGAGCTGTTGTCTTTTACTCAACAGCAGCTTAAACGGAGTGAGGAGGCGAAGAAGGTAAATCAACTGTTGTGAAGATTCAATTTATGCACCTCTTAACAGGAGACAGTAGCTTTGAAAAGCTGTTGTCTGTAGCTTTATTTGTTTTTTGTTTTTTTTTAAGTTTTGTTTACAAATGTTTGTGAACTTCAGAAAGGGGTAACCAAAATCCACATGATCCTGTAAGTGAATAGTGGCTTTAGGTGCCATTCATTGATTTAGCCACCTCATGTATGTATTTTTGCTTTTCACATCCTATTTACTGTAGAAGTTTCCTTGTGCCTGTCTATCATTGTCTTAACTGGCTTTACACACTAAGTTTCTGTTAGGGGGGACAGTATTAGTTAATAACTAGACTGATTTGAATCCTTGCCCCACTACTTAGCTCTATGACATTTGAGATTTACTTGGCCGGTTTGTAGCTTAGTTTCTTTCTATAAGATGTAGTCATTGATAGCGCCTCCCTCCTAGGGCCCTTGTGAGGATTAAATTTTATAATGCATATAGAGCTCTCAGAACAGTGACACATGGTGGGCTGTTCATTTTTCTAAAAATACTGAGTTCTTGCTCTAGCAGCGGTTCTCAACCTGTGGGTCGCGACCCCTTTGGGGGTCAAATGACCTTTTCACAGGGGTCACCTAAGACCATCGGAAAACAAAAAGATATTTACATTACGATTCATAACAGTAGCAAAATTACAGTTACAGAGTAGCAACGAAAATAATTTTATGGTTGGGGGTCATCATAACATGAGGAACTGTATTAAGGGGTCGCAGCATTAGGAAGGTTGAGAACCGCTGCTCTAGGGTAAGCGCTATTTTAGGTACTAGGAATATATTAGTAAATAATAGACAAAGATCCCTGCCTTGTAGAACTTATATTCTAGCAAGGAAAGACTGCAAATAAGCATGAAACATAATAAGTAATTAAATCATATAGAATGTTAGAAGTTGGTAATGCAATGTAAAAGGATAAGTACAACACAAGAAATTGGGATTATAGCAATGGCAGGGTTAGACTGCAGTTTTAAAGAGGGTGATTGATTTTAAATGGGCCAAAAGTAAAAGTTACATTTAAGCAAAGACTTAAAGAAGGTGATCTATCTTATTAGAAGAGTATTGTTCTAGGCAAAGAGAATAGTCAATGCATTGACCCTGTAATGTGTTATTTTTGCAATAAGAAAAAATTTCAATAAAAATAAATCTTAAATGTTTCCTCATTCCCTAGAAGTCTTTTATTTATTTTTTCTATGTTTATGTATACCTTTTCCTAAACTGATTTCACAAATTTACAGAAGAAATTTAGTTATCAAAGACATACTAAAATAAACACAGAATAATTTAGTAATGTAGCAATGTTAGTAACGGGTCCTGTACTGTTATTAAAACTGGGACACAAATTCAGCACTAAGTTTCCCAGCTGTCAAAGCAAAGAAGGATGTGAGTTATAAGACACATTACTGGTTCCTCAGTGACAGTTTGTGACAACTTTAAAATGTAAGGCTTGGTACCAGATAACTTTTTAACTGCTCTATGTTGGTCATTCAGGAGCCTACCTATGTAGCCAGCCCCTTTCTAGAGTTATTCAGGGCCAGATAGCTGGACTGTTTCTTATTTCTTTCCAGCACTGCAGAGAGAGGTAGGAGAAATGGCTGAGTAATTGAGAGCCATTTTTCTTGGGCTTCTCTAAGTTTACCTCAACTATTCTGAATTGAGTTGAAAGAGCTTTAAGAATATGCCTCTTGGGTTTATAAAAAATGACTGTGCTAAAAATGAAACATTGGACCAAGTTATTTATTGAAAGTTTACTTTGTGTTCACCTGGCAGAATACAGTTTTATTTTGTAACTTTTCTGCATTTAAAGAATTTTAGTATATTTTATTTTTAACACTGTGTGGAGGTAGTACTTATATCCTTTTTTTGTGTTAAAATGATTTTTCTTAGTAAAATGATAGCAAAAAGTAGATTTTAGGTTTTAATTTTGTTTTTTAAATATCATTAGTTGGCAAAATATAAAATTGACAACCTTAAGATATGGTCCTCCAAATTTCTGCCAGTTCAGATAATCCAAAAACCTAGAAACGTTTGCTGTATAACAGAACAACATTCGGAATCGCTCATAATTTACTCATAACCTTTTTCATACTCAACTCATCTCCATCCTCCTGCTATAGAAGACATTCCTAAACATGCAAACAAGTTATGCATTATCACATTTCCTTGTTTTTGTACAATTCTTCCTTCTGCGTTGGATCCTTCTTTTTTTTCTCTCCCCCAAATTATTCACATTCTTGGAGTCCTGCTTCAGGTTTCTTACCTCAAACTAATGCCTTTTCTTCAGTGGTCCTGTGCTATTTTATTTATACAACATTAATTAAAATATTTTTTACTTGTAAATAGGAAGTCTCTTATTGTTTATATTAACATTGCCAAATGTAGATTCTGGTACATAGTATTTCAGTATTTTTTCCTTATATTTGAATAGAACATTATTTTTGTTGCTGATTATTTTTGGTAGAGGTAAGTTTTTTGTTTGTTTGTTTTTTAAAGATTTTATTGGAAAATTGGGGAAGGAAAACAGTGCTGGGGAATCGGGGGAAGGGGAATAGACAAGTTGCTGTTCTTTTGTTCTTCAGTCTAGTTGTGGAGGATGTTGCTTCACTGACCCATGTTGGTATTATCATTGTGCTCTTCCCGGGTGAGGCAGATTGGTCACCGGCCACTGGATGGCCGCTCACAGCGGCTCTTGGCAGCTCACGCCGACTGCCGGCCGCTCACAGTGGCTGCTGGCCACACACGGTAGCTTATGGAAGCTCACTGCAGCAGGGGCTGCAGCCTACGCCGTCACCGGTGGCTTATGGCAGCCCAGCTCCTGGTCGAGCTGCTGTTCACCATCTTAGCTGTAGAGGGCACAATGTCACTTGCCCCCATGTGGGATCTGAACCAGGGCCCTGCTTGCTCAGAGCTGGCGTCCCAAGCCAGCTCTTAACCAACGCACCACTTGGCCGGCCTGGTAGAGGTAAGTTTTGAAAATAAGGGAAGATGGGTAAAATTGTGTGTGGTGTAGTAAGACTTCCCAGTATTGATCATTCACACCCATGAACTGGTTACTGTACTCATCCAAGGTTCATTCTTGCTCTCCACCCAGCCTGTGGAAACACATGTCCTTTCATGTTCTCATTCTTGAACTTGTACTCTTGATTAGTCTTTCTTTTCCTCTCTATTCCATTTCCCTTTTTTCTTTAATTTGATACACTTTTCCTGTCCTCTGAACAAAAAACTGTCAAACTGTTGTGAAGAACTCAGGAGACTAGCATGATAAAAATATCTTTACCCCAACTATTGAATTAGTTCTGTTTAAAAAATATGCTTAAGATGAGTAAATCTCATTGCTTTTGACTTAATCGTGTGTGTGTGTGTGTGTGTGTGTGTGTGTGTGTGTGTGTGTGTATTGTGTATGGTAGGATTTAGGTAACTCAAGATATTTTAATGTCTTACAAAGAGAAAAAGCAATTACTCTAAATTTTAAGTAATCATAAAATATATTTGAATTGTATTTTATATTCAGTTTTTTTAACTCACATATATTCATTTAAATTTTTCCTTATAGAATAATTATTTAATTGGTAGTTTATATTGTTATCCATAAAATAAAAACTAAAATAATGTTTATTCATTTTTAAAATTTATTACTTTTATTAGTCAACCTGACTTAAATTTATTCTTGTATGATTCAAGAGTAATATATTAATGTATTCACATCTTTTAGGGTCACTCATTAGCAATAGCTACTCTTATATAGCTTTTGGTATATATATGTTTCTCTTGGCAATAATTAAGGATTTCTGAAGATAGTAGTCATTTGGAGTTTAGTAAGTTTTCTCTAAAAAAATTCTAGTTTTTAATTTGCAAACTAATGCATAAATATTAGAGTAGGTATGTATGCAAGTACAAGTATCAAACCCCACCAGCCCAAGATGACAAAACGACCTTTGGTGCAAAATCATTATATTTATTTGGCTAACTTGAAGACATTTTTATTGGCCAAAAATGGAGCATTTGGAGCATCAGTAAGTATAATTACTGGAAGGTGTTAATACAAGTGTGTTTAAATCCATGAGTAATAAGAATGCTTTTTTAAAAATGACTGTGGAATTTATAGGATGCTAGGGAACCAACACATTATTTTGAAAACTGATAAATAAAGGGAAAGTGTACCCTGTCATGTCTTTGTAAATTATGTAATTTGTGTTATCATATCATTAATGAGATAAGTCTTCTCTTTATAGAAATAGAAATATATGTGATAAATGATGGAAGGATATATGAGTTAGATTATTACAATTTAGCATCTCTTCAGGAATTAATGGATCTTAGCATCAGTTGTTGCCAACATCACAGAAAGAAAGATAGCTAGACAATAAGATGTGGAAAATACCAGCACCCAGCAAGACTGACTGACTGACCAAATGAGTGAATTACTTATTTAATTAAAAAAAGCTG